TAGTAAGGTGCTGGGCCACCAGAACAGCATCACTGCACCTTGGGACTGATTATGCTACTCTCTGAACTCTACTGGAGGGATGAAAACCATTCTTCCAAAAGACATTCCTTCATTTGGTGTTTTGATAGTGGTGAAGAAGACGCTGTCTAAGACATCACAAGTGTTCATTTGGGTTGGGATATGGTTACTGTGAAGGCCATAGCATATGATTCATCAAACTGTTCACTGACTTTTTATGCCCTATGATGGGAGAATTGTCATTGTGCAAGAGAGCACTCATTTATTCAGGATTTTCTTTTGCTACCACTTAACCTTACAACAGGGAAGAAAAATATGGATATTTGGCAAAATATTGAAATGGGGAACATCATTTGCTGCTTGTGTTTGGTGGAACATCATACTGTCAGATTATCCACATGATACACAATGTTGCATCTCAGTCTTACCTTGTTTACTTGTCTACGTGTTGCTTTATGGATGAACATTGTACATAGTGACTGAGAGCCTCTGTACCAGAGTCAAGTTCCTTGTGTGTTCAACACACCTGACCAATACAGCTGATTCTGATTATGTTATTTATTAGTAGGCCTATATCATGCAGGAAATAAGTGTGCTAAATGAAGACAATGCAAACACAATGCAGTAGATGCTTTCAGTGAGTCATTTTTGTCTTAATATACAATTATTCTGTGTTTTCTTTTTTCATTGTTTCATGTTTCCTCTGCTCTATACAGGGAGTCCATCCCGAGCTGTCTCGGCCATGTCTCTCTCTGTTCGCCCAGTCCGACGCCTTACATCCAGATCCTTGTTTAGGAGCCAGAGCTTCACTGGGGTCAACACCTACGACAAAGCCTACAGGTAGACACACGCACATGCTGAGGGAAACTACACACACCCTGTGAGGTGTGCGTGTCTGTCTGTGTGTCTAGGATTACTCACACTGTGGGCGCCAAAACCTGTTTACACAAGAGCAGTTTTAATTCACATGATTACAATTTGATTCATTTCATTCTGCGGCCCCTCTGTCAACCTGCTAAGTACAATAGTGTATGTCAGGTTTGTACAATCTGTGGAACCACAGACATTGAGGCCTGATAAGCAAGAGGACTTCTTGATTTCTCTTCAGCAATGAAGAGATGAAATATATATTTTCTCCAGCATGTTCTGGGTCTGCCCCAGGACCTCCTGCCAGTTGGACATGCCCTGAAGATCCCCAAAGGGAGGCGCCCTTGAGGCATCCTGATAGATGCCCACCTCAACTGACTCCTTTCAATGTGAAGGAGCAGTAGTTATACTCCAAATTCCTTCAGGATATCCGAGCTCTGTGCACTGCAGTATCTCTAAGGCTAACTATGGCCACCCTATGACGCTCGTGAACATAGATGTGCACTTTATAGTCCAACTTTATAGTATTCCTAAAAAAAATGAATTACAGTGAAAGAAATAAAATAAGCTGGATTTCTTTACATATATACCCATAGATCCATGCATTTATAGGCTCACTCTCTTATGGTATGTTTCATGGTATTATATGGATTTTTCCATTACATAACTATACCATACTAATGCAGATTTGTCAGTTTACTAATAGTGGTTCCTGCCTGGCTAGACTACCAAACATTAATAAATTGTACACTCATTTGTGCTATCCTAGTGTATGCTGGAAAAGGCTCCAATCCAAGAGAGACTGGACTTAATTGTTTGGATGGATGGATCAACTGAACCACTGACTGACTCCCCTGACCACAAATAGTCATTCTTTTTAGACCCCTTAAAGATATAACATGCTTTTGAAAGGACATTTCTGCCAGCATTAAAACAATTTTGTTTACATCCTTTTTATACTGATGTAACCGGCGGGTTAGCCACGCCTATGCCACCCGGTGAGCAATTTTCTGGGATGATTATTAATATAAATATCATCCGTGAAGATGCTGTTGCAATAAACAATTCCTGTACTGGTCGCCACTGTGATTGTTTTGAAGTGAATCTTCCTCCATTGATCTGTCTCCTGCTTTCCCTTTGAGATTGTTTAGGGGATTACCGCATGCTCTCCAGGGGTGATAATTGTAAGCGTGATCCTGCAGAAGTTGGCGTCCATCGCACATGTTGTGCTAGGGTGACGTGCGGCCAAGCAGTGATAGCCACTGCTGCTTTGCGTTGCTTATGTAACGCTTTGCTTTGCTCTGTTTTCCTTTGCTTAGACTGCTTTTGTCTGCTTTTATGTTAAGAAGTTTACCTAGCATTATATTTTCTATTTATTGTATTGTCTCCAAGTAGGGTTTAGTCAATTTTATGGTGTCTGAACAGTATGTGAATGGTTTTATGTACAGGGAGGCAAGACCCTCTTATATTTGGTTTGTTGATTTGTGATTAATTGATTTGTGGTGTTTATTTAAAAAAGGCCTAACCCCAGAAGCTAAAATACTATGGTTAAGAAGTTACTCCCCACTCAATAAATACAGTGCAGAACAGAAATAAAATAGTCAGAGTCAACAGGTTGGAAACGCACCATTAAACAATTGTTCCACTGTTAACTTATTTAGTGACTCAAATAAATCTTTACTTTTGTGGACAAACCCAACATCTCTGAGTGTTTGCAGACTTATCTGTGTGTGTGGTAACCCAGTACTTGTAGAGTTTGTATGAATTTACTTGTGTGGTGTAGAAGAGAATTATCTATGTAGAGATACTGCTTGCAAACCAATGATGGTAAGATGATGTCAGGGGGTAGGACTGGATAAGTCTGACTTCTTCCTACTCCATTCAAGCATGTACTATAGGTATAAGCAAATTGATATTGGATTAGCATTTGTTGGATATGTGTGAAATTATGTGTGTTGATATATCAACTGTCTTTACATGCTTGAAAGAATAAATAAATCAAATTTGACCTCTTGAAACAGGAGGGACAATATTCTTTGAGAGCTACTATAACTTATTAGTGGCTGGGTTGCATAGGCCTGTATATTGGCCCGGTCACACTGACATCTTTGGGACAATTACATACCATATTATTCAGCCATAGCAAGAAATGTTTCTCACCTCCTTATCAACCATATTAACACCAAAACCTCTCATTGAAACAATACATTTTTCTTACTATAAGTAATTTTAAAAAAATATTTTCACAGTCCCCCGGTGTTGTTACTTGGCTACAGACCCCAATAGTATGACTGTGGCACAAAATACGTTTGGTCTTTTAGTATTGATTACAGAAGAAATAGGTGTATCTATAAGCTATTATTGTTTCCGGTATTAAATTGAACCTGATTAAAAAAAAAAAAACATTACAATATGAAAAATATTTAGTTGTGATGTAAAAATGATATTGTTATAATGTCAAATACAGGTGCAGCTCAAAAAATTAGAATATTGTGGAAAAGTCCATTTATTTCAGTAATTCAACTCAAATTGTGAAACTCGTGTATTATATAAATCCAGTACACACAGACTGAAGTAGTTTAAGCCGTTGGGTCTTTTAATTGTGATGAGTTAACATTTAACAAAAACCCACCAAATCACTATCTCAATAAATTAAAATATGGTGACATGCCACTCAGCTAGTCAACTCAAAACACCTGCAAAGGTGTCCTGAGTCTTCAAAATGGCCACTCAGTTTGGTTCACTAGGCTACACAATCATGGGGAAGACTGCTGAGCTGATCAGTTGTCCAGAAGACAATCACTGACACCCTTCACAAGGAGGGTAAGCCACAAACATTCATTGCCAAAGTAATTGGCTGTTCACAGAGTGCTGTATCCAAGTATGTTAACAGAAAGTTGTGTGGAAGGAAAAGATGCACAACCTATGCGCTACCAACCAGCCTTTAGAGGCTTGTCAAGCAAAATCAATTCAAGAATTTGGGTGAACTTCACAAGGAATGGACTGAGGCTGGGGTCAAGGCATCAAGGGCCACCACACACCAAAGTCACTGCACCCGTTTACCAAGAAATTATAGAGCACTTCATGCTTCCTTCTACTGACCGGTTTTTGGTCACCTGCCCACATTGCCAAAAGCACCAAAAGTTGGTTAAATGACCATGTTGTTGGTGTGCTTGACTGGCCAGCAAACTCACCATATGGGGTATTGTCAAGAGGAAAATGAGAAATGAGAGACCAAAACAATGCAGATGAGCTGAGGGCCACTGTCAAATTGAGGCAGTAATTAAAGCAAAAGGAGCCCCTACCAAGTATCGAGTACATATACAGTAAATGAACATACTTGCCAGAAGGCCAACAATTCAATAAAAATGTTTTTTATAGGTCTTATTAAGTATTCTCCTCTCCTCCACATCAAGAGGAGCCAGCTGAGGTGGCTCCGGCATCTGTTTCGCATGCCTCCTGAGCGCCTTCCTAGGGAGGTGTTCCGGGCATGTCCCACCGGGAGGAGGCCTCGGGGAAGACCCAGGACACGCTGGAGGGACTATGTCTCTCGACTGGCCTGGGAACGCCTCAGCATTCCCCCGGAGGAGCTGGAGGAAGTGTCTGGAAAGAGGGAAGTCTGGGCATCTTTGCTTAGACTGCTGCCCCTGCGACCCGGTCCCGGATAAGCGGAGGAAAATGGATGGATGGATGGATGGATGAAGTATTCTAATTTATTGAGATTGTGAATTGGTGGGTTTTTGTTAAATGTGGGCCAAAATCATCACAATTAAAAGACCCAACGGCTTAAACTACTTCAGTCTGTGGGTACTGAATTTATATAATACACGAGTTTCACAATTTGAGTTGAATTACTGAAATAAATGGACTTTTCCACAATATTCTAATTTATTGAGATGCACCTGTATTGCACGGGAGACCAACTGTCTGGGAATGTGTGTATGTTTGAATGTGTCAGCCTTGTAAGATAAAATGACTTTGACTGAGCTGATTTGAGTCGGTCAGGTGAGTGTATTTGAGGAGGTTCCAGTGACCTGAATTCTCTGATGT